GATTATTACAGACCTACGTTAGGACAGGAGTGAAGCTCGCGATAGATCCGGGGCTGTTGCATAAGACGCGCGGATCAAGTGTGTGGGACAGGTACATTCAGAATATTGATTATCAATTAACGACATACAACATAAAAATGACTAACTACGAATCAGATCTCACGAGGTTGAAGACGCATGCTATGTCACAACCTCGTACTTAATGCTCTGTCAGCGAATTGCGCTCTGAACATAAAGGCAATCACATCCGAAACTTAACATTCTGAGCTAATAAGAAGCTATGCATAAATCCGTTGCGGTTCGAAGTATCAGTGCAGCACCGAGCGGCCTTCAGCTCGACTTCGAGTTCGTTGCGACGGAAGCAGACGCTGTGAGCAATAGCTGTCTCATGGCTCAGGGATGTCGCGTGCATTCGTCTTAGTGGGTGAATTCACAATTATTATTCATCGAAATTATGTAGTCGAACCAAACCTGCCTCAGGTAAGGTAAGTTTGGTAAAAAGTATGTTCTAGAGGTCATTTATCAGATAGGCCTCGAGGGCCTGACATATATCGAGTACGTCATATCTGGGGTAGTCAAAATCCATGGGTTTTCATCGTGATATGTGCGGACACTTTTGCCCGACTTGCTATGTACAAGATACCATGTGGTAAAACAAACGACCCGGAATATATTTCCCGAGCGTGGGTACGTATTATTCCTATAGGCTTAATTCATTAACTTAATGTCCGACAAGTAAACCTTTGCTTAAATTACATGTGTGATGAAATGTATAACGTGTTTGAAGCGGTAGGAAAGCTGTATCGATTTATTTACAACTGATATCTGCGGTTATTGGAGCCGGGAACAAGCCTATTTTAAGATATATAGTAGTCTAAAACACTGGTTCTAATATAGATACGATTATGTTTTCTAACTAAAGGGTCGCTTGAATAACAAAGCACGTAAGTTCACAAATGCACTGATGCTGCTGTTGGATGCGTTCAGACGCGGCAAGCGGGCGGAGAGCGCGGCGAGCGCGATATCAGCCGGCCGCGCCACACGCTGTGATTTGGGCACAGCAGCTGAGCGAGCTCGTGCGCGCCTTTGCGCCGACTCGCCTTCTCTGCAAACCCGCAACGCACATCCGATTACTTCTGCTATCCTTCATTTACATTATAACGTAACAATAATTTATAATAACTTTTTGAGAACACTTTTACTGCTTAACACACTTGATTTACATCTCAGTACAAACGGGTGATGTGTCTCAAAGCTGGACGTAATCAATTGTATTGTATAGATAAAATCGTAGTTAGAATTAATTTATCCATCGTGAGCTTGGACAAAATGAGACGGACACAAAGGTTAGTTTTCAAGACAAGGTAGTCTTCTAGACTTTTTGTCATGCTTTGTATTGATATGTAAGTATTGAGCCTTCAAAAGGTTAGTTTATAATTTATTTCTGTTCGTTCAATCATCACATTCCATCAAAAGTACACTTCTGAACATACTTCTCAAATATTGCATCACAGATACAATACGACATATTTGCTATAGTTACCACGCTTCACAGGCAGGCTGGCAACGACACAGTATTGTTATTATTACTCAGTTGTAATCAGGAAGATGCCCAGCTCCTCCATCAGTTTCTTTCTATCCAAACTACATTCTTGTATGCCTTTACTACACGGCTAATATATAGATAATATATGCAGCATAATAAATATTTGACGCAGCATATATTCAGTTAGAATTTTTTACCATATAATTACCATTTAATTAACAACAATTATTAATATTACTCTAAGGGATGGGAGCATCACATGGAGTGGGGATTCAAGCCATGCGCTTTTTCAGGTTCTGACACCAAAACTCCGACAGTACAACGCGCACTTTAGTCTGCACGCCGAATAATCTTATCAAAACTGAATCGATTCCGACAGAACCATTGTTTGAACAGTTTCTTTGATATTAAACCTTACCATTTAGTGTGGTCAGAATCATCTTCATTAACTACAGATTGCTACATTACTATCACAATGTTCAAATTTGCCACATAAAATGTTTGAATACTTATTTGGTGTGATTCTGTCGGATTCGAACGACACGAAAGCAGAATTACAAAGAGCCTCTTCATTATCATGCGAGATTCCAGGAACATGCTGTTACAGTTAGATAGACCTAAGTTCCTGAAGTACTTACGAGTATATAATCTAGGAAACGTATAATGAGCCTCACAACATTAATTATAGGTTTAGAACTTTGGAAGAACTATTATATAAAGTTTTACAATTTAGACGAGGAACAAAGATATTTCCACTTTAAGGAAAAAGTAAGTACAGTACAGTTTCTGGTGTGCAATATAGCCGTGGTGGCCAAAGTGCCTCACAAATGGCTAATGTTACAACAATCACAAAATAACATTAAGGAAGAGGGTCACATTTAAAACGAGTCATTTGAAACAATAATATAACCTTAACCCCCGACGAATGAATCTATTCATTTTACGTGATGATCTTATGAAATAAGTTTAAATTTCATTTAAATATACTCAAAATATACCTCATGCTTTAGTAGCGCTCACTTTTCGTCGGAGGTTCAAATTACTTTCCCACACTTAATGAAAACGTCTATTTCTCTCCATGCTTTACTTTAACTACATTAAATTCTTAACTTATGTAGATCTTCATTCAAAACAGGATATAACCTGTTCTTCAAATAGACGTATTCACTGTAGTTACATTTAAGTTTTTACTGGAAGAAGGATTCAACACACTAGTTAAATATATATTGTGGACAACATCATTATATAAGAACGCGGGAGACTCCGCGTGCCTTACCATATAAATAGGCCAATAAGTTTTGTATTTAATATAACGAACTGTTACAATTTTGAGGGTGATGGCTTGCGGATCTCTCTCAGCTAACATGAAATAATTCGTGAGGGGACATGCAGTTTTATTATTTTTTTAAACTTACTTATCTACTGTCCTGAATGATGAACTTGGACAGAGACTGAAGAAACGAAAAATGCGTTAATATGGAGCAATTAACAAAAATAATGTATCTACGTTAAAATATTTTAGTCACCTTGCATGAATGCTATTTTTTTTTTATTTGTCACAGAAAGCGACACATCCGAATTGTATAGGGTTTATTTCTAATTTATATTTTTGTTTGGTTTTCATTTGTTTTTGTTTTAAAGCAATCTTATTAAAAATAATTGGCCGTTTTTTAATTTCTTTTATAATATACTGAATAAAAATTTACTTATAGTGCCATCCATTCCGACATTTTCCACCTTTAATGGGAGTTTAAATAGCAGGTATTTAGTGGTTTTTAAAGTTTTTATATTTTATTAGATAAATTGTATATTTCTGCCGGACGGGTTTCGAATTACTTATATTGCCCAAAAACTCTGCGCGTAGATTTTACTATTATTTTTATATTATTATACTTCAAATAACTGTTATTATGAATTTAAAGAGATAAGAGGTAAAAACTAGAGATAGAATATCTGATAAGGTAGGTATTTTCGTAATTTGTTGACATGCTAAATCGGAAATGTAATAAATTTTGTACTAGGCAGTAGTACAAAATGTCAAGGAAGTTGGATATAAATACATTTGGACAATGAAGAGCCTTGATTGCTACGGAAAGCGTGTTTAGCTATTATTGCTGGTTTCGGCCTTGTAAGCGGCTTACGCTTTAATTGTTATTACTATAAAATAAATGTGTATAGTAGAGTCGTTCAGAAATCTGTAGTATGAATTAGATTGCTTGGGTGGTTGTTGGTATTTTCTAACGGTGTGATATCATCATCACATCTTTATTATCTTAATGAGATGTAAATTGCTATGTGCATATGTCAAGCTGAATGGTGTCAATTATTTGAGGCAGAGTGTGTAGGCTGTAGACTGGGCTAGTGTTGTTTTCTGGGTTCCCTTTTTTTACAACTCATGTGTACAATCTATTAGGTAAATACGTGAACGTCTGGTATTTAGATTCGAAAGCGTGCTAGTGTTTCCGCTCCCGTGGCGGGCTACTTATAAATTGAGTTGAAGTGTAGGCGCAACGGCCTGGGGGCGCGACACTCGCATCGATTCCGGTACCACGATGTGCACGTGCGGGGCGAGGGTGCGTGACGTCACGGGAGGGGTGACCGGGCTCTGCCGCAGCGGGTATCGATCCCGGTGCGTCCCGCTTCCATTCAAGCCACCGATCGAAGTCCGTGCCAGTGAGACGTGTGAATGGTATGCGAAGTGCTGCCATTCACCGCCGCTTTGCGTGTCGCACTAGCTTTTATGTACAACCCTCCTATGCATGCTTATTATAAAGTTTCTATTTCCTACACGAGTCATAAAGCTACAGTGTGATTGCTTTTGACCTAGTGTCTAGTTCTTTAGTATCTCATAGTGTATTCTTAATTAAAAAATGTTAACGTCTATGTATCTATAGACATATTGTTGTTTTCACGTACTTGTGTGTCTCAAAATCAAGGGACAGTGGTCAACTTTAGAATAACAGACACCAGAACAGATCTGTGACATTGGCATGCCAATATAGGACACCGTGATTATTTTTGACCAATTAATACTAGTATATAGATTTGTTGAATATTATCTATACTTACTTTTAATTACGTTTTGTTATTATTCTAATCGACCTCGCCTGATAGTAATGCTTATGCATTGCAAATTATTATTTTCATTTAAATTTTTACTTTAGTAAGTTGCGTGACTATTATACAGATGAAAATATTTTTTATTAAGATAAATGAAATGCTTACATGTGGTGTGAAAAAAATATAATAAATACTTTTAAATTATAGAAATTTGAAATTGTGATTTGCAATTTGATTTTGTTACAGTCAAGATATTAATGTAAATGTAATTTGAAATAGAAGGAGTGTATTCTTAAGAAATTTAAAAGTTTAATACCGAGGGAATTACTATTTAAACGTATAAAAATTAACAACGATTTGAAATAGTAGTAGGGTTTAACAACTCACCTAATGGTCAGACATCGGTTTCTATAGCCTCGGCAGCAGAGGCAGCGTGCAAATTGTTGACGCGCACGGTGCAGGTGGTGCGACGGCGCGGGCCTTCACGAAGCTCCCGACCCTCGCGGAGATCGCAGAGCTCACGGATTTCAGGGCAATCGCGACCCCGTGCTGAAGTGCCACATTCTTGGGCCTGGGCCTGCGCCTTTTGCTGTGCCAGCCGTTGAGCCTGCACTTTCTGCTGCTTCTGCAGCTCTTGTTGCTGCAACTATACAAAAGAATGGTTTATGTTCGAAACGTACAAAAATTTATGATGCCTACTCAGCAAACTACTTTGGGGGTGTTTGTGTTCGACGTCTCCACGTATCTTTTGTTTCTTAATTAGTGTACAATATTTTTTTATCAACAACACGCGTGGCTAACTTATATTCAATTTAGCTAACTTCATTGCACTCAAAAACCATATCTCCTTGGAATTAATAACTATATATTATATAACTAACTAAAGAAATAGGAACTGAAAACTGGGGCTCATAAATTTTTTGGCCTAACGAGCCGGATGTACACCAGCGACCTATGGCTCCAAACTGTGGCTCCTACAGTTTACAATGAGTAGTTTAAGTAGAGCATAACTATATTTACTGGGTTTTTCTGTAACGTGAAATCTAAAAATAATAAGTAGTAACTTAGTGAAAGTTCCGAAAATTTGATAAGCTTCCTATAGATATCAGCATATAAAATTACTTATAACTATTGGCCTATAAAAAATAACCCCAGATCGGTAAAGGAAAGCCTTTTAACTAGATCCCCGCCCAGCAGTCCACTATTTATTGCTTGATGAAATGGGGACTGTCTTACTTGTAAGCTCACTAAAATAGACATTTTTTTGTAACTTGACGCACGTGGTTTAGCCGAAGCGCATCCTGGTTTTCGAGTGCGGCGATGTCGTCTATGGCACCGGCTTCCAAAGCTGCCTGTTGTTCCAGCAGCAGGCGTTCCTCTTCACGCAAACGCCGCAAGTTCTGCTCCAGCTGTGTATCGGCCAGCAGGGCGCTCTCGTCCAAATCCATCATATCCGAGGATGACTCGTCGCTAACCGAGGATTTCTTCTGAATTGGACCTGAAACTATGCGCGCTGGTCATGTGTAGCGCTCCTAGTCGCGCATTAGTGAGCGAAGACAAAGGCAAGCGATGTGAAGGCGATTGATGTATAGGTATAGTAAGTAAAGCGAAGAAACACCGATTGTGATTTTATCAAAAAAATAGAAAATAAAGTTACAATTTCAACTGATCCTTTCCAATAGGCCTTGCTGATCAAGAAAAACACATAAAAATCTTATTTACGTTTAGTATAAAATTGGAATTATTCGAAACTGAGAAGTTCGCTTCGCGTCACATCCGCTTTCGCTTGGCATTGCTCGAGAGACTGTTTGCTAAAATGTGCCAGTGTTTTCAACTTGAAGCATGCTGATAATGTAACATAAAATAATTAAACTGAAAGAAAAATTATAACTTACTTGCAGATATCCAAAGGTGGTGTACAAGAGCTAAAAAAAACATAGAAGCGGACATTAATATCGCGCTACGGGAATAAATTGACAAGTCGAGATATCCATAGCAAAATCGTGCCGGTAGAAGAAGATAGAAGTCATAAATTAAAACGTATAAAAGCGGCTACTATGACATTTTAAGTTTCGCAGGATGGTCCTCTCGATTTATCAGTTTATTCGCTTCATGCAGCAACGAGCCCGCGTCAAGGAAGCGTTGCGTGTTGCGTAACACTGCGGACGTTCCGAGATTTAAATAAACCCTTTAGAACGGTTCAAAGGCTTCACTTTACCCAAGCGACTGCGTCGCTACGTGATAAATAATATTTTATTAAGTTTATTCTTATAAGACATTGTTCACATTTACCCTTAAAATTATTGTGTTAAAGAATTTGCGATCGCATACGTTTATGGGATTAAAAAGTGCTCCGCTTCTGATATTTATAACTTAGAAGTTCGATAGATCGAAGAGTTAAATAAATATAGATAGTTGTATCAAGTACCTACTAAAGTTATTTATGTTTCTGTAAAATATTTTATGATCTGTAAATAATTTATATAATATTTGCTTTTTACTGCAGTAGAAAGGAAATATGTTATAAACGAAACACCTGATGCTGTTTTGGATTCCTACAAAACTGCAACACAATACACAGGGCACACTGAAAATTCTGCGCTCTAGGAAACTCATAAATATTTGAATTTCGAATGTTACATTTTTTAAACTTTAAAATATTTTTTGGCGAGAAGTCGCATGTGTCGATGAGGGCTAAGACGCTATCACGTTAGCTTACACTGAGGTGAAGTTTTTTGTTACACATTGTCATTTAATTGCGATGTTAGTTTTTTATCAGTTTCAGGGGTATTGTATTAATACACAAAAATGCGCCTCAGCCATTTGTTCTTATTTTTTTACACATTTTTAGCATTTTTTTAATTTTTATATTTTTCGGATATACTGTGGTTTGGTTTTATTTATTTTTAATCAAATTAATATAAAAATAACCAACGGTGCAGAAAGAAACATTAACATTTTTCGAATAAATTACCTTCCCCACTATGAAATCTTTCAAATAATACACCTCATTGTAAGTGGCGCTGCCCTGGTGGCGGAAATAGTCGTGAATGCCCTCATTGTTTTTACCACAAGTTGAAGTTTCTCATCCATAGCCAAAATTTAGAGATATCAGGACGATGATTTTTTAAGATTTTTAAGTTTAATCTCTCTGCAAGATGCACTACTTGTCTTCAAAATGCTTTTGGGTAAGATTTCATTTGAGCGCCGAGGCGTCGGTACGTAGAACTAGATCATGATGAAATTCTTGAAGGTCTTTTTTTTACTGTGATCACTGAGGAATAGACTTATTGAAGAAAATTATTGACAAAAAAAGAAAATCGCCTATGGAGGAGATTTGAGCAAAAACGGGCACGAATTGATTGGTGTAAAAATGTTGTTAAAGTATTTTGACGGTCTTTCAAACACTGCGTAAGACATTGTGACTTGAGATGAAAAATATTGAGATGAGATATATTGTTATATTCTGGAAAATAGCAATACCTATTCTTCTGTACAAGTATTCGAAGGCGACAGCAAACAACTAAATGGGGGCAGGCAAGAAGAGAGCAAAATAATTATTACGTTTTTTATCTCCCAGACTTGTAGATATCCCATATATGTACGAACCCACTTGATGAGCAAAAGAAAGTTAATGCTGATTGGTACACTATCATTTGTTGGCCCAGTTTCATTGAGAAAGATAAGGAATAACGACCAAGAAGACCTATCTTAATACGTTACGACAATGCTTCGGCGCACACCGCGAACAAGATAAAATCATTTTTGGCTTTTGAAAAGCAGCGGGATGTACCGCATACAGTACAGATCACGAACCATGCGAATTATCTTCCCAAAAACAAAAGATTTGATGTGAGGTTTGACATTAACGGAGCCAGAAGATGCCATAATAGCTTTCACCAGCACGTGGAAGACATGCCGTCAGATCAATGACCAAAGTGTTTAAAACGTAATTCTACTTTAAAAAGCAGTAAATATATTGGTTTAGATATAAATGATTTTATTTATGAATTACGCCTTTTGATTTTCTACTGAATGAATTTTGGAGAGTATGCGCTGGAATCGCATAAATTAATTAATTCCTCTCCATTTTTCACCATCGAACAACTAGACGTCGGGCCAGACTCCACCCTTTCGTCTGCTTACCACGCATTCGAACTCAAGGGTTTGCTTTACTTGTATATATAGAGGTCAGTGGTTTGCTTACGCGTGTTATACACATACACGTATAGCGAAGGAGTAGAATAAATTGTCAACATCTGTTTTTCCATCCGATTACAATGTAGACGTCTTCAAGGGAAGAGTAAATAGAATTTTGTTAAGTCAGTGCAAAATATGGTTATCTTCAGCTATACTACCATTTTTTAATGAGAGCAATTTTGGATGAAACCTAACAATCAGGTGGGATTCAAATCAAGTGGGATCAAAATTTTCAGAGTACCCCACGTAATATGTAGAGTATGCTATTTCGTTTTTGTTATTGATTTATTTTTAATGTATGGTGTTGATTGCTAAGCCTTTAGTTTAATATTTTTTATTCATTTACGTTTCCGAAACAATAACGAAGGTAAATAAAACTTTTGTTAAAAAATAGTAAAAATTGTAAACGTTGGATCAGGATTACTCTCGTTGTAATCTTATTTATAAATTATTCTTTTAAGTATATTCCGGATGGAAAAAATGTAGAAAGTGAAACAAAAACATTGAAATTTGAGGAATGCTGCTTCGTTCCTTTTATTTTAACAAAGAAAATAAAAGTCAAAACGGAAGCAAATAGTGACGAAGTTCTGTAAATAGATATTTATAAACAAAAATAAAACGAATGTAACACATTTGGAAACTCAGGTAAATTGAAACTCGACATGAAGTACACTTGATGTAAAATTCCAACTAACCAAGTGAAACGAATTAATAACATAACCCGATATAATCCAATTCACTACAGTCCTTTAAACGTAACTCGATAGAATTAAATTAACAGTTTTATTGGCGCATTTTTACATCACTTAAACTAATATTTACATCAACACTGCACTATTTCGCTTCTTAAACGATAATATCACAACGATCGTCTCTGTCGAGTTAGTTTTAGTTTGCAATACTAAATAACAGAACGACACTGTCGTACAGTCACTGTTCACCGCACACGTCGTCCTTCTCATCGTCCTTCCCACCTGAAATTACCGAAAACGAACATAAAAGAAATAAATAAAAAGCGGACCATGCGAACTCATTCTTGTAAAGCTTGTGTCATGCTGGGTTTACCATTAATTACTAAAGAAATTATAAAGATTTACATTTTAATATAAAACGACCAGAAACGTGTCACAAGTACAGTAACATAAAATAAACTACGTGCTTAACATTGCTCATTTTAAATTAATATTGAAAGATAGGCCCTACTTAAAGCCCTGATCAATTTGCAAGCTTTATCATGGTCTGAGTGACTCGCGGATAAATTCTATGGACAATCGTAAAGCCGACAACCAGGATCGCGGCTCACTAGCGTTGTCTGTACACGGTACGTTGCTTCATAGAATATAAAGAAGAACTGTATCGTCGGTAGGTGTCGGTAGTACAACCCCGGAAATATTTACCCGTCGATCAAGGCCATAAAATAATTGCAAGCACATTTACTGTGTATAAATAAATTTGATTTGAATGTAAAAAAAGTAAATGTTATCAGGTGCAGTTTGTGTTTTAAACGTGTCATATACATACTCAAGTAAGGCTCCCCCATAGTCCCTGGTAGATACGGACAACTGGTGACGTGGTTGAAGTTTTGTGATTGCATTTCCTCTTGATCAGTCTCACGGTGATAGAAGTAGTTGAAATTGGACACGATGACGGGTACAGGCAGAGCAATGGTGAGTACGCCAGCGATCGCACAGAGTGATCCCACGATCTTGCCCCACACTCCAACCGGCCTAATGCGAGAAACTCTATTATATTTCTGAATTTGATTTTGTCAACGATTATGAAAATGAAACAAGAGTAGGTACTATGTAATTCATATTCGATTGGAATTGTTAAAGATGATCTTTACGATGATAGCCATGCTTCATTTTATACGTACCCATTTTTTAATGAAAGCAATTTTGGATGAAATCTAATCAACGTAGGTATAAAAAAATCTATTTCTGTGCGGATAAAATAATTGATTCCATTCGCTGTGCTCTGTTCATATCGCCCGCAATACGATATCATTCATCATCTTCCAAACTCGCCAGCTTGTTACAGATGATCTGTAACTCGATACTTAACGCAAGGCAGTTAGATCTATCGCCAGCAATCATATTCAGAGTAGCAAAGTTACGACATCTGGCATATCAACAGCACCAGCCAGAATCTGCAATTGCTGATTGACACTAAGCCTGTTGATATACTTTATGTCCAACAAATTTGCTACAATGGACATGCCAGAATAGTATTAAACTAAAGAACACTTGTGAATTGGATGACCTACGTTATTAATTAAAAGAACGCTAAACAAAATAATCATGCATTAGTTTACGACTAACATGTAATAGTACATTAAATAATTTCTCTATCGAAAATGGTGTGAAAGCTTGTAATCAAAGGGCAACGATAAAAAGCAGTGACACATTCTGAACATCAATTTTACATAGTAGCATAATTGGGTAAAATTTAACCAATATCCGTGATAAGAAATCGGCGGTGGGGCTCATATGGCATTTCGAATCACAAAAATACATAAGTATATGTGGGATATTAGTCAGATGTACATAATTTTAAGTTGAAGAATAGAATGATGCCAGGCACAAAGACGTGATGATCACCATTTTCGACGAGCTATCATTTTAACATTTACAACAGCTATGATAAGGATGAAGGGAACATTCAGTATATTTTAGCAAAAGCGTCACAGAGGAGTACATACACTGGAGAAATGGCCTTGTATTACGACGACAAGACCACTTCAACTCGATTTTCTAAGGCACCCGTCGCATGTTGTAGCTGATTTGTTAAAACTCAATCGGAGTTGAAGTGCATTGTGACATTTAAAGCTGTTTGGTGCGAACTTTCGCGCGAATGCGCTTTGGAAGGGGCGATTGTAACACGACAGGTTTCCTGGTACACTATCTCAATCAGCGTATCTAATTATTAAGATCGAATAATAATGGAAAATTTTACAACAATGCTTCCATGTAAAATTGATATAACTCAGGACGGAGATGATGTAAAAGGTGAAATTTGAAATAAAATAATAATGCGATGACAACGAACGTTCATTAACGTGCAGTACAACTTGGTAAACGAATGAAAATTATAAATAACCGGTTAAGTTCTAAGCGGACCGACGATAAAATCAAATTGAAGCAAAAATTACATGAGACGGCGAAAGAAAATATCAACCGTGTTAGAATGCCGATGTAAGGTTGTAGGATAAAATGAAATGACGAGAAGGCAGAGATGAAATTTAGGGTGAATTCGCTGATTCATACGTCATGTCTCCGTATCCTACGGTCGTCATTGTCACGACCGCCCACCAAAACGCATCAGGTATGGATTTGAAGAAGCTGTTCTCACTTCCGGCTTCAGCGAAGTACACCGCGGAGGAAAACAGCACCACACCTTTAAGAACAAGCACACACCAACGGATACAGTGGGACGTACAATGGCGGGGAGCGATTGCAAACGAGCGCGGGGCTGGACGCGCGCGGGTTACCTCACATCGCCATAGCCAACTGTGGTCATCGTTATTACGGCCCACCAGAAGGCGTCGGGGATTGAGGAAAAATTGGTATCGGGGCAATCTTTATCAGCAAAGAATACAGCGCTGGAGAACACGACCACCCCTGCGAACACAGAACATGTTGTGCACGCAAGAAAAATACCGGCACGCGTCACCCCCGCGCGCGCTTCTGCGTCGCTCCGCGGCGACATCTGGAAGTTCTGAATTAAGCTTTTACCACTGCTCCTACCAATATAAGTGTAGTTTTTACTACAATTCTATTCTTTTCTGACTTTGGGACGTGTTTTATTACGCAATTCAATACTCTCTAGCAAAGTTATCGTTAATGCATTCTTTAATATACCATATCAAAAGCCTGTAAATAATGTATTCATTGATTGCTTTTGCATTTTAATGAGGACTGGACGTATCGAATCTTGACACTTACCTATAAATAAGAAGAATATTAGAAGTCCGAGCTCACGCATAGACGCTTTTAGAGTGCGTCCAAGAATTTGAAGACCCTTGGAGTGGCGAGATAATTTGAAAATCCTGAAGACTCGCACCAGACGAATCACACGGAGTATAGCGAGGCTCATTGCTTGATTGGTGGATTTATCTTGTGGGGATACAGGCGCTCGAGGTAAGTTCAAGGTATCCTCTTCTTCAGCAACCACAGTAGCAAGAGTGATGAAATAGGGAATAATAGCAATTATGTCTATGATGTTCATGACGTCTCTGAAGAAATTAAATTTGTTCGGACAAGCCAAAAACCGCACTATCAACTCGAAGGTAAACCAGATTATACACAGCGTCTCGATGAGGAAGAACGGATCTGTGATGTCTGGTACTTCGTCTTCCTCGATCTTGGTGCCGTTGGTTGTGGTGTTGAACACTTTGTAATGTTTGAACTCTGGGAGGGTCTCGAGGCAGAAGATAACAATTGACAGGAGAATTACAAACACGGAGATAATTGCAACAACTCGGGCCGCTTGGGAGCTCTCTGGGTATTCAAAGAGGAGCCAGATTTTGCGCTGGCGCTCGTTAGCGGGCAAGGGTTTCTCCTCCTCCTTTATGAAGCCCTCATCCTCACTGAAATAAAGTTGGTTACGTTAAACATATTCTATTTTTAACAACAAATTACTTTAAAAAGGAAGGTAGTATAAATAAAATAATTGTGGCACTGATACCTTAACTGGGTATTTTTATATATTATATGACAAAAATATATATATATATATATATATATTATATTTGTATAGATATACACATATACATATATATGCCGTATGGTGGCGGCGTAATAGAATTCGTCTCCCCGTCTAGCAGTGATCTTCAACAGGCTAATGATGGTGAAGAGAAGATTCATAAAGAACATGTGTATTTACATCTACTCGTACATATATAACAGTGGCATTTCATTCATTCATTATTAAATATCAAAAGTTCGTTGTGAAACTTAGTCTTGCTCTCTGCCTCTGCCCTCTATAGCGTCATAGAGGGCAGAGGCGATAGCGCCCTAGGCTAGCACCACACCCGTGCCCCTCCGTTGACTATCCTCTTCTTTTTATATATATAATTTCGATTGCAGTCCGTTAGTCACGCTGAAACACGAAAACGGCTTAAACGATTTTGATGAATTACGAGTATTTTGTATAACGTTGAGTCACAATTCCGCTCTGTACACATTCTACGCGAAGCAAACGGAGCAAAATCACTTCGATACCCCATCCCACATTCACTGTGGATTTTTGCAACATAACTTCATTTAAACCTTAACGCTGTCCACCACCATCTCGATACGGATAACTCGGCCTTACTATTTTCTCACCAACCTAGCATCTATGGGTGCATTTATAGGTCAGCGGTAATGCCGAAACAGACCGACTCATCGGGCAAGTCCAAAGGACTACATATTCCTTGCTAATACCATCGGCATAAATCGTGCTCCTAGGCGATTTCAACGCCCACCACCCCAAATTACTCGGTTCTCGTACTATTGATCATGCGGGGAGATCGGTTTACGACTTTGCCTTGCCATATGGTCTGACACAACTTTCACTTCGCTCACGCGGATTCCAGATGTGAAGGATCCTTTCCTGTTGGAACTTCTAATGACTTCTCATCCGAACAGATACGAAGTCTTCGTCTATGCTTTTCGTGGCTCTTCGGATCACTACCTGACTATCGTTGAGAGTGTCATGGTCAACGGATTGGGATGGGATACGGGCTTTTACGCATTCTCTTCAGGGGGTGGATTTGCTTCTCGCTGGGTAATCCCAACATCGTTGCTAAGTCGGTCGTTAATGTATTCAGGGGATGGAAATTTTCATCCCGTTATCTATTACCCTTAATACTCATTGTTATCAGCGGAAGATCCCGGCCTCGGCTTAGGTCACTCCTGCAAAATTGCGTCGCAGCAAACGCTGGAGTGTTATAAGGCCTGGGCCGACGCATCGGCATCTCAGGATGTAAACACTAACATACTCAAAATGAAGTACAATTTTGCTTCCACATCCTTCTAAAGAGTAATCGCTAGAGCAAAATTGGAACACATTGTGAGGGTTGGCGAGAAACTAGTTCGCCTTCCTTCCAGAACTCGTGCATTCTGTTCTCTCGCTAAGGCTGTCCAAAATAATTTCTGTAAGCCATCATTATCATTTCTGTGCAGGGAAGATGACTCGCTGGCTCACGCCGCAAAGAAAGATTTTCAGGTTCTCTTTTTGCATATCTAAATCGACACTCGACGACAGAGGGAATCTACCGCCGACCATTTCGCTGTGTTAATACTCAAAGCAGGATGTTAAGTTCACATCGTGCTCAGTACGTAAAGCACTGTTCGTTTCTGGACGTTCATAAGTGAAACGGCCTGATAGAATCCCTGTAATCGTGCTGAAGACATGTACTCCAGAGTAAGCACTGGCTCTCACGCGTCTTTTCTCATTCTCTTACTCTTTCGACGTCGTTCCGAGATCATGAAACACACCCTTAGTACACCTGATTCCAAAAAAAGGAAACAGCTTGGATCCATCCAATTATAAGCCTATTGTCGTCAATTTCCTGTTCTCCAAAATAATGGAAACCGTTTATAACTGCCAGGTCGTGAGGTACCTTGAAGAGCAATAATAGCTGGTTAGTGACCGTCAATACGATTACCGTTAATGCTGCTAAGCTGGTGATCTTCTTATCTGCCTGTCTCACCGATAGGCGATGGCAATCGAGACCAAGTGGAATGTTCAGGCAGTTAATTTGTACATAGAAATTTAGAACAAAGCGGACATAGGGATTGGCCTTTGATTGGATTTGACAAAAAGCGCTTCCTTCAAAGCTTCCCGAGAAATCATGCAATTGGGTTACCAGTATTCTTACAGACCGAAGTACTATTTAGTTTCTTCTGCATATCAATGATATATGTTGTATACCATTAACATTCATTGTTATTGCTTGCATATAAACAGCATTGAGGATGTCTTATACACTGGCCGTGCTAATATTTCTGGGGGACACGAGTGCCGGAACAAACTTGTGTCTGAAGTTGATTCTTTCTAAGCCTAGTGCAGTTTAACCCCAAAAGACACAGATTTGCGCATTTACCGAAAAAATGACTCTTTTGTTGTATATCCTCAATTTTAGGGTACTCTTCTCGTTGCCTCAGCCAGCATCGGAATCCTTGTCGTCGTCATTGCGAGAGACGTACGTACGTACGTAAGTACGTAAGTATTAAACGGAGAGCGGCCCTCATCATAGGCGACCAAGTTCTTTCCGATCGGCTTGATCCACTGGCCTTCCGAAGAGACTACTGCTGTTTCCACCATCATACACTGCAACAGAACTCAAGATTCCATCCCACTATCATGATGACTGGCAGTCCACTACAGTGCGAATCACGCAAAATTTTCTGCCTTTAACGACCGTACCTACTGTTGCATTTGCTTCTCCGCACGTTACTCTCCTCTCCGAACCGTTGCGCCCCTTAGTACCTACGTACCTGGGCACGTGCCTAGTGTGCCTTTAAGGTAATCCGCTATTATTATAGATATATTATAGAGGCGATATTGTCATAGTTGCCATGCTTGACCGTAGCCAGGTAAGCAACCGCTGCTTTTTTTTAGAAAAATTATCGTATCAATACTTGTTGTCAGGAAGATACTGCTAGACATTCGTATCAGTTTACTCCTGTCAGCTCCTTCATATACGAGATTATACGGGGTAGTGGACAATCTTACGCCGCCACTACACATCGGACATTGATATGGACATTGTATGTAAAAATGAACTTTAATTTTTTTTGAAATGAAATTGGTGCAATTGGTACGTATATAAATCAATAATTCGTACCGGAATTTGTTTGTGGCTTGTTCGCCAAGTTCGTAAAATTTAATTTCTTCGGAGAATACGTCCAGCGGTACGTTAACAGGACGGCGAAGCCGCCCTCCGCTTTGATAGTAGTACAGGATTGCGTCGAAAGAAGGGCGATTACGGTCGAAGAAGTATTCGTTCCTGAAATTAACCTTATTGTTATCTCAGGGCATGTTGATTGTATCCAAGTTATAATAATTTATTACATTTACACGATTACTGTCCATTTAAAGAAACTAATTTGACGGATTTTGTCGCGTTTAGTTTTACTGTTTAAGTCCCGACATTTCAATCATTCATTTCATTTTATCATCAACTGGGACGTCAAACATCTCAGTTTCCCCATGACCCTGGGTGTTGTAAAGCATCTGGAACATCGGGAATTAAAATCCGTAAAATTAGTTTAATTTGATATATCTGAGCTGTTACAGGCACGTCATTTAAACTTAATCACTTTAATCATTTTGACAATTTTACCATTACAATAAGCTGGTATGGAAATTATTACTCACCGTATAGGATCAAAATACCGTATTCTCCGCGCGGGATCGCCCAGCAAAGTCTCCGGGAATTGGTTCAAAGTCCGAAGTTGTGTTTCGAATTTCAAACCGCTCACCTAGGGACAGAAGGTTTGTTTCAATAACATTTCAAAATGTATCGAAATACAAGCTATAATAGTATTTAATCTTATTTTAATTATTTTTACAATCGATTACTTAAAAGACGCTGTCAACTGATAAATTTGAGGACTAAAAGAAAACTTCGTAATGAAAACTGCAATATTGCATTTCCCAAAATGAAATATTTTCAGGACATGTGAAGTCCACCTCCATGGCAAGGGACATGTTGCATCTCAGGAATAATCAAGAATGTTTTTGGAGCAACAATTCCTGCAATACCATACTGTACCCAAAAGAGTAAACAGTAAATATATCACAAGCATCGACTAAATTTAGAATCTTTGCATGATATTAATATGCGACAAAACTTTTTGGGTAATGAATGCGTTCCAATAAAGATTCCACTACCGTTTCCTTTACAGCATATCAAAGATCCACTGCTCCACACAGGTCTCCTTCTCAAATTATTTCATCGGGGGATTTGCCACAGTCGACGCGCTCGCCACGCAGCTCGGCAACCACAGGTTTTTATTCAGCTCTTTTAGTCAGAAAGATTTTGCTGCCCATCTGGTGGTTCAGTCACCTTCTATCGCCCCTTGCGACATCCGTGGGTGCAGCGAAATGGGGTAGCGGCTATTCATGCACCGCCACTACACAGTCGAAACTTTCCACATATTCGTCGAAAATAAAACCAAATACGAGACATAGGAAATATGCGGCGGTATTCTAATAAAATAATGTGGTAAAGCACGGTCAACGGAAACACGCGTCGAATTTTCTTTTTATTTACCAAAACAAATCATCAGCCTTGAATTAACGTTTTATTAACACTTGATTTTTATAGCGGCGGCATTTAGACGCTTGAAATGACTTGAGTAAAAAGTAAAGTGACAGCCTATATACGTCCCATTGCTGGGCACAGGCCTCCCCTCATTTTTGAGAGGGTTTTAGGGCAAGGAAAAGTATCAGCCGCGCTGCCCCAATGCGTGTTGGCGAACTTCACATGTCTTCGAAATATTTTTTTCCTTATTCCTCAGACATGCAGGTTTCCTCACGATGTTTTCCTTCAAGCCGATAGCACAGACTCGGCTCCACGCCCTGGTAGAGGCGTAAAATATACCACCCTTTATCCGCACCATGAGGAACAATATAATAGAAATGGCCCCGAGTTCCCGGCGCCCCTTTAATGGGGCAGGGGTGCGAAGAATCTCCGGGAGGAAAACCGGCGACGAGGTTCGCCACCCGTCACGTTCTGTCTCCCGGAGAGGCGAAAAGTGGATTGCAGAGGTCCGTCTGGCTACGTTGAATGTATGTGGGGCAATGAATGATAAAATGGATGAAGTATGCGATATGATGAATGATAGAGGAATAGATGTGTTATGTGTAAATGAGACGAAAAGGAAGGGAAAGGATGTCACTACACATGGCATGTATACCGCATACTGGTCTGGTGTAGACGAGATCGAGCGGGCATGCCAGGGAGTAGGTATCATCCTTTCAGAAAGAATGGGCCAATGTGTGAAAGAGTATGAATGTGTAAGCCCAAGACTGCTGTGGATACGAATGAAAGTGGGCTTAAAGAAGTTGTTTGTGTTAGGGGTCTACGCCCCAGACATGTCTAAGCCCACTTATATCCGAGAGCAGTTTTGGGAAATGGTAAGGATGGTGTTAATGGAGTGTAAGGGAAATGAAAATATTATTATGCTAGGAGATTTTAATGGAAGGGTTGGGGTGAGGAGGCTTGGTTATGAAAGGATATTGGGAACGTTTGGTGATGAAAGTATAAATGAGAATGGTGAAAGTCTCCTCACCGTATGTATGGAAAAGAATCTTTTTGTGACGAACACTTGCTTTCGCCACAAGAGGATTCACATGTATACTTGGGAAAGAGGTGACGATAGAAGCATGATAGATTTAATAATTGTGGATGAAAGATTGAGGGGCGCAGTTGTAGATACAAGGGTTTACCGGGGTTCTAACGTAGGAACGGATCATTATTTGGTTCTATGCCGAATTAATGGTCTATTCAGGCGTTGGCGCCATCGGTCATCTGTGTCTACCACTGCGTTACAGCGTATTAGAACAGAAAGGTTACAAGATGAAGGTGAGAAAAAGAAGTTCAAATGTAGACTGAAAGAAAATATAAGTGGTTTGGATGAATTATGTATGAAGGAGTTAGACTTGGAGAATGTATGGCAAAATGTAAAGAAAGGTTTAGTGGATGCAGCTACCGAAGTATGTGGTGTTAGTAAGAGAAAGAATGAAAGGAAAAATAATACGTTATGGTGGGATGATGAGGTACGTATGGAAGTTGAAGCAAAGAAGAGAGCATGGCTAGATTTACTAGCAACAAAGGCTGGTAATTCTAGCGGTACGAATGATGATATTGAAAGAAAAAAGGCAGTCTTTAGACATCTTAATAAGAGAGTAAAAGAAGTAGTTGAAAGAAAAAAAGCAAGAAAGAACGGATAAGAATGATAGAAGAATATCGGATAATTTCCAGGCAAATATTAAAATGTTCTGGAAACTTGTAAGAACTGCCAGGGGACATTCAAAACAGCCTATGATGAATGCTATAAGAGACGAGAATGGCTATATTCTGAATGATGAAGTTTTGAGTTTAAAGAGATGGAAGGAATATTTTGAAAGCGTGTTTATGAGTGAGGAGACAACGTGTGTACTAAGTGAAGTAGAAACACCGAAAGAAGAGGAAAGAGGTAGCGAGATAAGTATAGATGAAATAATGAAAGCAATGAAAAGCATGAAAGCAGGTAAGGCTGCCGGATATGATAGAGTTTCACTCGAAATGCTAAGGCCTGGAGAGGAAGTGGTGGCAGGCCTGCTGCACACCTTGTTTAATTTATGCTGGGAACTGAAGCGGGTACCGGTAGACTGGTGCAAAGCCGTGATAGTCCCAGTATATAAGGGAAAAGGGTCGCAGCAGGACTGTAAAAACTACCGTGGCATCAGCCTTCTTAGCATTGTGGGAAAACTGTATGCTAAGGTACTGATTGAAAGGGTCATGAAAGAAACTGATGGAAAAATTTGGGATGTGCAAGCAGGATTTAGAAAGGGAATGGGATGTACAGATCAAGTCTTTTCCATGCGCATGATCGCGGAGAAGTTTTTGGCCAAAAACCAAAAGGTTTTTTGTGCGTTCATGGACTTGGAAAAGGCCTATGACAGAGTGAATAGGGATGTGCTATGGCAAACACTGAACTCATTTGGGTTGAGCGCTGGCTTGATACGGGCATTGGAGTCCCTTTATAGGGACTCTAGTGCTTGTGTTAGGATCAACGGGGTCTACTCGGACTGGTTTGACATCCATAAAGGTGTCAGACAGGGCTGTGTAGCTTCCCCGTGGCTGTTCAACCTATTTATGGACAGTTGTTTGCAAAATTTGAAAGTTGAAGAATGCGGATTAAGAATGGGTGAGTTAACCGTCAAATGCCTTTTGTACGCCGATGATCAAGTTATACTTGCGTCGTCGGCGGCCGAGTTGCAAATGATGGTTACATTAATGAACAGATCATTAAAAGAAAGGGGTATGAAAGTGAACGCAAGTAAGACGAAGGTTATGGTTTTTGAAAGAGAAGAAAGTAAAACGATTTGTGAAATAAGAATAGAAGGGGAGTTGATCGAGCAAGTAGACGAGTTTGTATATTTGGGCTGCGTATTTAGCAGGGATGGGAGATATGATAAGGATATAGAACGACGAGTGAATGCGGGAAATAGAGTAAATGGGGCCCTGCACTCTATTGTGAAGAGTCAAAATGTGTCGAAAAAGGCACGTATGGCAATTCACAATGCTGTGTTGGTCCCTACTTTAACATATGGTAGTGAAAGTTGGGTGTGGCAGAAGAAGCACGAGAGTAGAATGAACGCAGTAGAAATGCGGTCGTTAAGGAGTATGTTAGGGCTGAATCTTAATGACAGGGTAAGAAATTGTGTAATAAGAGAAGAGTGTGGTTTGCAAGATGATGTTGTGACCAGGATTAAGAAAGGAATGCTTCGGTGGTTTGGTCATGTGGAAAGAATGAATGAGGAAAGAGTGACAAAGAAAATTTATGTTGCAGAAGTGAATGGCAGAGTCGGAAAGGGACGTCCTAGGCGAAAATTTATCGACCAAATTGGCGATTTATTGAAAACGGGCCAAATTAGGAGTACCCTTAACCGACGAGCATGTATGCGGAGGTGTATGGATGTGAAGGAGGCGAGAGAGGTGTGTCAGGATCGTGCCAAATGGAAGTCTGTAGTCTCTGCCTACCCCTCTGGGTGACAGGCGTGAGTGTTTATGTATTTATGTATGTTTATGTATGTTTTCCTTCACCGCCGAGCACGTGGTAAATCAGCACTTAAAAATTACAATTAACAATTTCATTGGAACGCAAAATAAAAATAGAAAAATGTGTACACATGTAAGTTATTTTGACGGCTCCCTAGAGCAGTGGTTTAGCAATGAGTTACAGTGGTAAGGACCACGCATTCTAATCCCGCACAGAACAATTATTTGTATCGCCTATAAATAATTTTCCCGTCTGTATATTTGTGCTCGTGAAATTTATGTATGTAAACTGCCATTGCGATACGAGAAAAATTCCTAGTAAGGAGTTAACGTGTTTAAAAAATGTTTAGTGTTAAGAAATCTAAAAATAGGGTGTTGAGCTCTACAGTGTAACTCACAGCAAAGAAAAACTTTTAAGTATTAACTGTTTTAAGTATTGACGATCACACTATCAATGTCACTGCAGCACGTCACTAGTCCACTAAGGTCATCCATGGATCCTGACGTAATAACTACATCGTAAGCAAATTAAGTTGAGTGATGTTGTCGCCATTGATGTTATTTTTTTAAAGGATAAGTGTGACACCCGGACATACAATACAATGGTAAGCGGATGCTGTGACCTATAAAAACCTTCATCCATCTATAGAATCAAAATGCTGATGAGAAAAATATCGTTTCCAGTAAATGAAATCTCCGGCATCTCTACAT